CCTGCTGTGTTCCAGCCCTTGCCACATCCTTCTAGCTCTAACATGTTTCTGGGTTTCTAACCCACGAGTGCCTTGGAGTTCTGCCCACCCTGCGGCTCAGTGAAAATTGAGGAGGGTCTTGGGAAGAACACTGCTGGCCCACAGAGATGTGGGGCACTCCAGACCTGACCTGGGCTCCCTGGGATGCCCCGAAGCCCCTAACCAAAGCCAGCACAGTCCCTCAGCATTCTTGCTATCTTGATTCTGAGCCCTCCCCTACCTGCTTGCACCTGTCCCACCCAGCCCCACATGAGACTGGAGAGCCCTGACTTGCTCACTGAGACAGTGGTGATTTCAGAAGCTCTACTGGGGGCATGGACTGCTGCAGGCAAATTGGGCTGAGGAGGGCAAGCCATACTCTAGGCTGCCTAGTGGCCAAGGACATCTGCTGCTTTTTTTCCCAGCAGGAGGCCCAGGGTCAGCTGGTACTGCAAGGGCACCCTCCCTCCCATGCCCGTGGTCTGATTTCTGGTCCCTTGGATAGCTCCTCCAGTGCCCCAGGTGTGCGGTCAGCCCAGGAGCAGGTGGGGGGGTGGGGCAAGGGCGCTCTGGAGCAATGCTGGGCACATGTCTGAGCACACAGCCTCCATCATGTCCTCCCCTTCCTGCTTCCCATGCCCCCACTCCCCTTGGAGGCACACCCAGGGGCCAGCAGCACTCACAGTTTGCTCCAATCAGGGACTCGATGCGCTCCCGGCGCCTTTGGCGCAGTCGGTGGACCATGAAAAGCAGCAGGGACAGGATGAGGAAGGAGGAGATGCAACTAACGATCAGACGCATCCCACTGGCCATGGAGTCGAACAGGCTGTTCCCATCTGTTAGTGGAGAAGGAAGGAACCCCGCTGCTCTCAGAAAAGGAGGTCCTGACCCTAGGTGCTTAGTGTTATGAGAAGGCCATGGCCTTCCACCACCACACAACTATGTGGACAAGGCAACTTGCTTCCCAATTCAATCTTAGAATAGACAGCAGAAATGAAACAGTTTAGAATCAAGGATACTGTGAGAACACCACAGTAGAGCAGAGCAAGGCCAGGAAAAATCTTTTAATATGACACGGGCCATGCACATCATGGGGACCCCATCTTCCTCATCAGAGAGGCCACCTGGCCTCCCCCTGGATCATCTGTGTTGGATGACTTGGCACCTTCCTTCAAGAGCTGAGGGTCTCAGATGACTACTGTGTGAAAATGCCCAGAACTGCCGGTGAGCAAGGAAGCCATCTTCTTCCACAATGGGCATTTCTAAGACAGCAAGCGACAGACACACTCTGCAGGCCCAGGAGCCGCAGCGACCCCCTGCAGAGGCCACACACCTTTCTCCTGGTGCCGAGTACACACCCTCCTTCTCAAGGCAATTCTGAGTGTCCGGAAGACAAACCGAGAATGTGTCCATGCCCCTCTCCTCACTGAGCTTCCACACGTGTGCCAGTAACACCATACGTTCTCAATTACGTCAAGTGCCCCAACACAATGGAGCAGGGTAAAAGGATCAGAAGTGAGCAGGGCGTGTGTTCTGTGAGGCGGTGGCAGGGGAGGCCTTCCCAAGATGGACACGGGGAGGAACTGAGGGCAGGGGACCCGTGCACGACTTGGCCGGGGCTGGGTCTCCCTGTTTTATTCTCATGTGACAGGAAGCCGCTGCAGGAGCATGGGAGTGTTGGAGAAGACGGCGAGGAGGTGCCCGCAGCACCCAGGGCAGGAAATGACAGTGGCCTGGACTGGGGGTGGTAACAAAGGTGAGAAGTGACAGCAGGATCCATTCTGGACTTGGATTGACATGCTTCACTGATGGGCTAGGAGTGGCTGCTGGGGAAGGACGCTCAGCTCAGGGCCTGGTCTTACAAATGAGACTCAACCATAGCTGTGAATGAGCCTGTCACCTCAGTCTTTAAATCATGGCAGAGAAATCACCCTTACCCATCTGAAACCAGCTCTGGGCACAGACGGGAAGGTGGGCATTCACAAACACACATGCTGACTTTCACGGCGTGCATGGAACACCAGGCCAATGCCACAGCCTGGCCACACCTCTGCTGGCGAGTGTGGGGTTAAGGGGCCATGGAGCTTCCTGTTCTGCCCGTCCAGGGGGCGCCTGTCTCCTTCAGTCTTCCCTGGAGACCCCCATGCCTGCTGTCCTCTCACCCAACCCTATTGCAGGGGTGTGAGCCCCTGGAAGCCACAATAGGGGTCAGGAATGTGTATCTGGCACCTCCCCGATTTCTCACCACAACCCTACAGGAGAAGACAAATGTCCCTCTATAGAGGGAACTAAGGCTCAGCGGAGCCATGTGACTGGCCCCAGTTCAGACCTGGGCTCCATCAGGGTGTTTCCAGAACCCTCCTCAGCACCCAGCAGTGCTCACATGTGGAGGCTGGGTTCACCTGGAGCCCCTGTTTACAGACCCTGTCCTCCCCTTGCCTGTCAGTAGCTGTTCTAATTTTTGACCTCCACATACCCCACTTCTACCAACCATCTGTGTTGGTGGGGAGCCCAGGGGATACTGGATCATGTGCCCAGCATTGCCAAGGGCTCGACTTTGGCACTCATGATCTCGAGGGATTGGGAGGAGGGACACACAGGAGCAAGTCCTCACACAGATGACCCTGAGATGCTGGTGGCCTGCTCACCCTGTTCCATCTCTACCTTGGGCCACAGTCCCCACACAAGTGAGGCTGGGCAGGCTGAACTCGTGTCCCTGCTGTTGGCCAGCTCAGTGATGGAGGCCCTGGTGTTCCATGGCAGCTTCAGCACAGGGCTGGAGCTTGGCCTGCACCCAACATCTCGGGGCAGAGGCAGTGGGGTCCCAAGGCCTAGCTCCGTGGGCGGCACTGGCTTCACCTTCCAGCCCAGCACTGCTAAGTCCCGGCCAATGCTATCCTTCTGCCTAAGCTCACTGGGGCCGCAGCTAGAGGGCGCTCTGTCATGGCCCCTACACTCCAACCACACAGTACATCTAACAATGTCTAGAGGCACTTTTGTAGGGTGGTAGTGTGGAGGTGCTGCTGTCATCTGGGTAGAGGCCAGGGATGCTGCTAAACATCCTGCTGTGTACAAGACAGCCCCACGGGACAGTGTCTGGCCCAAAATGTCAACAGTGCTGAGGTGCAGACACCCTGTTCTGCCCTGGCACACACTGGGGCTGCTCGGGTGCTCACTACGGGGCTGCTGAGGTGATGCCCGTGGGACGAGGTGTGAAGAAACAGAAATTGTATTGGCCGAGTGCCTATGAAGTGATGGCCATTTCCAGGTGCTCCAACTTAGAGGAGATGGGCCACTAGCACCAAGTCAGAAAACCAGAAAGTCGCCCTGGGAATACCTTCCCAGGCCTAGGGTAGAAGCAGGGAGGCATCAGAGGGAGGAGTGACCTGCAGCCCTTGGAAGCAGGAGGACTTTGCATGGGCGGAGGGCCAAGGACTATCACTCCCACCTCTGCAACAGCCACACGGGCAGTTCCCCAACTACTAGCCCTAGACATTTCACGGTCAACATGGTTTCCGTGTGTGCGAGGCCAGGCTCCTAGGGCCCTCGTGCCATGCCTACTTGCCCAGCCCTCTCTGTGGCCCTGCAGATGGCCAGAGCTCACTTTTTCCCTCCACCAACAGGGCCAGAAAGCTCCCCTCAAATGCTGCATTTATTGCTAACAACAATTGAGAAGCAAACATGCAGAAAGGATACATCCTCTCACCAATTAGCTGCTTTTTGTGATGCCTCTGATCCTCTTCCAATTTCAAGGGAACATTACATCCCTGTCCTTGGGAGGAAGTCCACCAGCCTAGGGGGCTGCTGACATGTCTGTTAATTGGTGGCCAGCTCAGAGATCCCAGGGTGGCACCTTAAGTAGCAGCCCCTTTGCAATAATTAACTCTTAATTAGTTCTAAAATAAACTCAAGGACATGGTCAAGATCCCTGACCAACCCTCCACAGTGGTCCTAGAACCAAGCCACCAACAGTCAGACACAAAGGAGACTGCCGTCCCAGAAGCCAGAGGCCAGCCCAGGGGTCTCTGGGAACCCTTAACATGGCTGGTCCCTCCAGGAACTCTGGACTGTACCAGGCAAGGCTGTCTTCTGAGCTGCTGGTCTCTAGCTAGCCCTGGACCCCAGACAGAGGACACATCCTGCTGGAGTAGATGCTGTTAGAACTGAAGGTGCCCTGAAGTCCACCTGACTTGACCTTTGGTCTGTCTGGGTCATCCCTGTTCCTCCCCAGCCTGGGTGTGAAGAGCTCCATCCACCATGTCACTGAACTTGGTTATATGGAAACAGCTCCAAATCTCTGCTGGAGACAGCAGGTGGGGCAGAAGCTCAGCGGAAATGAGGTTGGTGTCCTGGGTCCCAACATGTGTTCTGCTATTGGCTGCTGCACAGCCGGGCACCTCACCTCTCCAAGCCTTGCAGGCTCAGGCTGCCCCAGAGCACCCGTGCAAAGGGAGGGGAGAGCAATGGGAGAAATGCAGTCTCCCCCCGACTTAGCTAGCACATGGAGTTGTCAGTTGTTGTTTTAGCTTTCTATTAAGTGTGGTACCCCATGTGGATTCAATTTGTTTCTCTAATGACCACTGTTGAACATCCTTTGAAGTGCTTGGCTGCCATCCTGTATTTTCTTTGGTGAGGTATCATTTTAAATCTTTTGCCCATTTTTTTTTTTTTAATATTTTATTGGGGAATTGGGGGGATGGGGAACAGCGTTGGGGAATTGGGGGAAGGGAACAGACAAGCTGCTGTCCTTTTTGTTCTTCAGTCTAGTTGTGGAGGACGTTGCTTCACTGGCCCATGTTGTTATTATCATTGCGCTCTTCCTGGCTGAGGCAGATTGATTGCCGGCTTCTGGACGGCCGCTCATGATGGCTCTTGGCAGCTCACAGCGGCTCTTGGAAGCTCACGCTGGCTGCTGGCTACACATGGTAGCCCATGGCAGCCCACTGCAGCCCCGTTGCAGCCTATGCAGTCGCCAGTGATTCACAGCAGCCGAGCTTCAGGTCAAGCTGTTGTTCACCATCTTAGCTGTAGGGGGCACAGTGTCACTGGCCCTCATGTGGGATCCGAACCAGGGATCTGCTGCTCAGAGCTGGTGTCCCAAGCCAGCTCTTAACCAACACGCCACTCCGCTGGCCCTCTTTTGCCCATTTTTAATAGGATACTTTGTTTTCTTATTATTGAGTTTTTAGAGTTCTTACATATCTGAACACAAGACCTTTGTCTGATTTGTGTTTTGCAAATATTTTTTCTCAGATGGTGGTTTATCTTTTCATTTCCTTAATTATCTTTCAAAGAGTGGAAGATTTCAATTTTAATGAAGTCTAATTTATCAATTTTTCTTTTGTGGGTCATTCTTTTGATGTCATATCTAAACATGCTGCCTATCCCAAAGTCACAAAGATTTTCCTCCTGTGTTTATTTTTCTTTTAAAGCACTTGAATTTTTTTTAGAGCATACGTATTCTCCTAGAAGTTTTATAATTTATAAGGTTTTACAGGTAGGTCTATAACCATTTTGAGTTAATTTTTATATATAGCAGGAGGTATAGTGTAAGGTTCATACTTTTTTTTTTTTTGCATATGGACATCCAGTTGTTCTAGCAACATGTGTTGCAAGACTACCCTTCTTCCACTGAATCACCTTTGTACCTTTGTTAGATAGAGTTGACCATGTAAACGTGGGAGTATCTCTAGACTCTCTATTCTGTTTCACTGATTTATGTGTTTATTCTTTTGCATATACCACACTGTTTTAACTGTAATGACTGTATAGTAATTTTAAATCAGGTACCATGAACCCTCCAACTTTATTCTTTTTAAAAACCATTTTGGCTATTCTAATCCCTTTGCCTTTCCACATACATTTTAGCTTATCAATGTCTACAAAAAAGTATGCTGGAATTTTGGTTGGGACTACACTGATCCAAGAACATGGTATCTCTCTCCTTTTATTTACACCTTTGATTTCATTCATCAGTGCTTTATCATTTGTAGCATACAGATAATGAACATATTTTTTAAGATTTATACCTAAATATTTCATGCTTTCTGGTGCTATCATATATGGTACTCTTCTTAAAATTTCTATTTCCAGCTGTTTACAGGTAGCATATGTAAATACAACAGATTTTTGTATATTGACCTTATATCTGGAGACCTTGCTAACCACACTTATTAGTTTCCTGTAGATCCTCTGGGATTTTCTATGCTGATAATTATGTTATCTGCAAAGAGGGATGGTTTCACTTCTTCACTCTTGTCTGGACGTCCTTCCATTTTCTGGCACTGCCCTTGACATGCTGTACAACCCTGAACAGAGTGGTGAGAGGAGACATGTTTGCTTTGTTAAAGGGGACACTTTCTCAGTTTTGGTGGCAGCACTGCCATCCTTGGAGCAGTGTGGGCACTTCCCAGGAGAAGGCACTTGGCGTGTGAGGCTGTCAGGAGCCTGCAAAAGCAAGGCTGCAGCAAGGGGCAGGGCGAGGCCCTGGCTAAGTTGCTCTGGCTGCACAGGAGAGTGGCCTGCAGGCAGCTCTCATTTTGCCTTGATGCCCCGAGCACCCTGTTGTACTGAGAAGTCCTCAGGGCTGGGTGGGCTCCACAGTCCACATATACCCACAGACTGGTCATCCTTGAATACCTCTAGTCATACATGGCCTCTGCACTCTCCACGGCCGACTGTACACCTTTGATGGGACACGTATCAGAGCACCTGCTTCTGCTGAGCCTCAGGCAGCCTGACATTGCTCTGCTCTCTTGCCAGCAGCCCTACTGGTATGCAGGGACACTGAAAACTCTCCACTGGGGGACAGCTCTTGTTGTTGAGGCTCTCACACATCAGCTCTGGCTCTCCTCCCACTAGCACTAGGCAAACCAGCCTCTCTTCCATGGGGGCCCAAGGGACGGAGACGGACATCACAACCCACCCAAGCTGCTTTTCTTGGACCCAGGGGCTTCCACAAATCCATGCCCACGTCACTCTCTCATACTGTGGCTGCCAACAAAGACACAAATTCATGCTTTGGATTTACGTTTCTCCTGAGATGATGAATTCACACAGAGATGCCAACTGCACTAGTGTGCAGAATGAGCCAGCATACTATACAGAGTCCGATGCGTGCTGTCGGTCCTACAGAACAGAAGCCCACTTGCTGTTCTTTTTGTAGACGTGGAAGGAAGGTCGCCCACAGACCACATGCCTGCACGGTGTCCGCATGCAAAGCACCACCTAGTGGGGAGTTTTATCCTGAAACTGACAGTAACACTTAATCTTTTCCTTAAAGGTTCTAACAGTAAAAACTGATGACTATAAGCCATGAAAATTGTCATTACCCTCCACATCACCATACTCAGAAAATAGGAAGTGCTCAAATGGGGACGTAAGTTGGAAGTCTTGCTCTGAGTCTTAATAGGAGAGGAAAAAGGTCTAAAACCATCAGTTCCAGCTGATTTGTGAACATATAGCCACACTCAAGTTCATCAGTAAGTGATACCTGTTACCTGAAAGTTGAAATGAGCCAACTTGCAAGGTGGCACTTAGAGGAGCATGTGACACACATGCTCACTAGAGTAGTTGCCCATCAAAGCCTATGAGAGTCTGTGAGCAAACACTGTCACTGCTGCTACGCCATGTGCCATGAGCTCTTAAAAGTCCCCGCCACCGAGGAAGCAATAGGCCACGTAGCCTATGGCCCTGAAAGGAGCTGACTCATGACCCACCAGTCTCACCTGGGTCCAGGCACATGAATTTGCAGCACTCCTTGGGATCCTTGCGGTACTGCTGGCAGCCCTGGGGCCGCTCGCAGAGGGCAGCCACGCACATCTCTGGCTCTCCTCTGTGGCAGGCGCAGCTCAGGCACGGGTCGTCTCCTTTGGGGGTAAAGTAGAACCCTTCATCCACCACGTTGTCCTTGATGTCTACACACGTTTGATCTGCAAAAGGCACATAGAAGCACACATACATGTTACCAGCAAAACCAGCCCTGCCTTTCCCCATGAACATGACAACAGAGAAGCTGGCAAGATGGACCCGAGAACCCTCCTGTGAGCCTGTGCAAGAGAAGTCACTACAGCACCTTGTTAGGACAAAGCACACCTGGCCAGGGCACACCAAGCCACAAGCGGGGACAGTTAGGACATTGGAGAGTGCCAGACTCCATGAGAAGGCCTGTGGAGAAGTGTTTGTTTTTAAGTTGCTTAACCAGTTTAATTATGAGAGTTCAATTCTAAGATGCAGATGCCATGTGTATTAATCATTTTAAAATCAGAATGTGTCTCAAATGAGTTTTCCAAGAAGCTGCTTGTTGTGCTTGGGAAGACAGCCCACTCAGTCCACTACTGAGACACACACACTGTGAAACTCAAGCACAGAGCTCAAGAAACTTGCTTAAGGCCAAACCTGGATTAACACTCTGGCTATCTGATGATTAAGCATGTTCTCCTAACACCATTTTACAGCTGCCACTGGAAGAGTTGACTTTATGTAAAACAAACAGAAACTCCTATGGATGAAAAGCACCATTATATAATGATAAAAAGGTTCAATTTACCAGAAGATATAATAATGATAAGGGCTCACGTCCTCAATAATACGATCTTAAGACAGATAAAGCTAAAATTAGAGAATATCACGAAAGAATGGATGAAATCAACATCCATAGTGAGAGATTATAACACACCTTTCAACAACTGACATATCATGTAGCCAAAAAGATTTGAGCAATACAATCAATAAGCCTGAGTTAACAGACATACAGAGAATCCTACAGCCAAGAGTACAAGCACACATGGAACAGTAACAAAAATGAACCCAATTTTAAGGCCACAGAACAAACGCCAACAAAGAAAAAAGAACATAAATATCATGTTATCTGACCACAGTACACTTGAGACACAACATTAAATTAGAGACCATCAGTAAATACAGTGTATAATCTAGGATTAACCTGTGATAGAACGGCTTCCTGGAAGGGGGTAAATATATTGACAATGTAGGGCCCAGAGGCTTCTTCTGGAGCATGGGGAAATTCCACAGCTTGATCTGGGACGTGGTTACACATGCGTACAAATTCATCAAACTTGCACTTAAGATTTGGCACTTTATTCTATGTATGTATGTATGTATGTATGTATGTATGTATGTATGAATGAATGATAGGGAAAACTGAACCTTAAATGCCTCATATTAGAAAAACTAAAAATTAAAAAGTTAAGAATCTAACTCTAGAAGTCAGAAAAAGAAAAGAATAAACCTAATTATCATTAGGTAAAAGGACAGACATTGGCAGCAGAAATTAATGGCACAGAAAACAGATACAGAACACTGAGAATCAATTATCACCTAAAGCTGGTTCTTTGTAAAGATGAACCACAGAGGCAAAACCCTAAGCAAGACTGAGCAAGAAGAAAGGAAGAAAATATAAATAATATTAGAAGTCAAAAGGAGGTCATGATGACAGGCATACAAATGCTTTAAGAAATTGTAAGAGAATGCTGAGAGAACTTTGTAACCATGAATTAGAAAATTTAGATTGTATGGGCAATGCTCTAGATAAATGATTTAGCAATACTGAATAAAAAAATAACTAGAAAACTTGACTATGTCTATAAACATTAAAAAAACTAAATCAGTATTTAAAATCTATACCCACTATCTGTATACAAACACGCATATGCACGCATACACCTTAGCTCTGGGCACTGAGATGACCTAAAAGCAATGAGCATAAGTAGTGCACAGGTCCTCTAAGGCTCCTTGGAGAAAACGTTGATTCCAGAAGAGTATAAGATGAACCTGGAAATGCTCAAAGAATGATGGGGAAATGTCAAAAGGACAGCTTGTGAAACAACTCATAGAACTAAAAGGAGAAAATAGGCAACTCCACAATTTTATTTGTAGACTTCAACACCTCCCTTTCAACAATCCACAGAATTCCTAGACAACATCGGCAATGATACAGAATATCTGTATCATTGATACAGAACATCACAATCAACCAAGAGGCTCTAATTCTCACACATATGCTCGCTCTCTCCCTGACCCAACAGCAGAAACTTTTTTTTTTAGAAAACACATTTTTTTGAAGCATCCGTAACATTCACCAAGACAGTATCCTGGAGGCATAAAACATACCTCAACAAATTTAAAATAACTGTTATCATACAGAAGTTACTCTCTGACCATAATGGAATCAAACTGGAAACCAGTAACAGGAGACAAGAGGAAAATCTCTAAGCACATGGAAACTGAACAACCTGCTCCTGCCTCACTGGCTGCATCTGGGGGTGATTCCACCCTCCACCCACGGCAGAGGGGACTGGGGGAGGTGAGGGAGCCCTGCCCTTGGCCAGCACAACCACACTGAGCCCCCAAAGCTGGAAGAGACCTCCATGTGGAATGAGAGAGCTGGCAGAGGGACAGGGGAAGATCTGTGACACCACAGAATGAGGAGGGGGAACCTCTGGCCCAGGTCTGCAGAGAGCAGGGGGAGGTGACCAAGGGAGTCAGAGGCTCCGAGGCACCACGATATTTGGCAAGTACTCCCATTATCATTCTCATCTAGTGTCCTAACAACACTGAGGTGGGGAAGACAGGAATTACTGGGGAGGACAGGAATTATCGCCTCTATCCTGGGAAAGAGAAATGAGGGCCAGAGATGACAATTGCTGCCCAGGTCACAGAGTTAAGCAGCAGGCCAGGCAGGTTCACGTCAGCATTGGGTCCCAGCCCAGGCTCTTGCCTTCACCCTCCAAGCACCTGTGCGCCTTCAGAGTAAGGTGTGAGCCAGGCACAGTACACATGCTGCACGCTATAAAACAGGTTAAGTCTACTCAAGGTTGACATCAAGGTCCAGAAATGAGAAAGCCACATTCTCCTGAGAAGCACCGTTCCTTACAGCTCACTAGGAGTCACACTCGAGATGGCTTACTTCTTTTACACAGAAACGAAGACTTCTCGTAGCAGTTCTCGGCATACCAGCTGTGCAGATCGTGGTGGCGGAGGGTGGGGAAGTGGAAGCACTGGAGCTGGGCGCAGAACACATTGTCACTTTCAGACATGGCTGACGCGAAGATGGGGTCTGGGGGCAGGAGCACCTCTGAGGAACCTTTGGGAGAGACAAAAGAAAGGGCTGGCCATTAGAATATGTCAACATCCCAAACATGCTCAGTCTTCACAGAGACCAAAGCCCACCCTAGACTGGACCATCAATCAAAGAACTCGTGCACTGTTAAGTGCTAGATGTACTGTGGTTACTGCATTCATTCACTCACAACCTCGCCCAGCTCCTCTGAAAGTGGGTCTGGGTACTCAGCTTATAGGGGCTCCCCTCCTGTGAAGCAAGAGAGGCAAGCACACGAAAAAGTCATACTGTGCCGAGAGCCAGAGGCAGACTATACTGAGCCGGAGATGTTTAAAAGTAGACGAACAAGGCTGGCCGAGTGACGCATTGGTTAGGATAGGAGTTGGCTTGGGATGCCAGCTCTGAGCAGCAGGGTCCCGGTTCAGATCCCACATGAGGGCCAGTGACACTGCCCTCTACAGCTAAGATGGTGAACAACAGCTCAACCTGGAGCTGGGCTGCCATGAGTCGCTGGTGATGGCGTAGGCTGCAGTGGGGCTGCCTGGCAGCGGGCATGGGCTTTCGTGAGCTGCCGTGAGCAGCCGACCAATGGCCGGCGAGCGACTGCCTCACCCGGGAAGAGAGCAATAATAATAACATGGGCCAGTGAAGCGACGTCCTCCACAACTAGACTGAAGAACAAAAGGATAGCAACTTGTTTGTTCCTCTTCCCCAGCTCCCCAATGCTGTTCCCCTCCACCCAATTCCCCAATAAAATCTTAAAAAAAAAAAAAGTAGACCAACAACATGAAGAGTGAAGTAATGGGTTATAACATATGTATGAGTTCATACAGATCAAAATGAACAAATAAATAGGGGAAAAGAGGGGAAGATTCTCTCTCATAATGCTGTATTGACTGACAAATGGAGAAGTTCTTGAAAAGGCGCCACTGCACCTGCCAGGAATACACAATTCAGGCAGAATTGTGCCCCCACCCCGGAGCAGCAGCTGGCCGTGAACTCCTGGAACACGCTGGCTCCCTGGGATCCACTCCCAGCTCCAGGAAGGCTCTGTCATCTACTCAGCTCCTGCCTTCCAAGCTGGGGATGAGGCGATCAGAAACCAGCTCCCTCACAGCCCAGGGTGGGGGTGCAGTGGTGTTGGAGGCGGGGGCCACGAACCTCTAAGCCTCTCTTCTAAGCCCCAGGAATCTAACATAGCTTCCTAATCACTCTCTCCCACGATTCAACAAATACTGGCAAGCCCCAATCCTGTAAAAAGACACTTGAAGTAGACCGGGCAACAACAGAAAGCAAAGATCCGTGCCCTGTAGAGCTGACATCTGAGTGGGGGTGTAAAGGGTGGAGACAGGTGATGAACAACAGAATAAGTGAAACATATGTGATATCGGAAGGTCATGGCTGCTATAGAAAAAAGAAGCTGGAACATGGAGGTGAAGGCAGGCCTCAGAGCAGAGACATGGGCGCACGGAATGGAGGGCGAGAGGGTTACCGACATTCCTGATACTCCTTGTGTTGGGGGTCCCACACTAGCCACAGGCTCACTGCTTTGCAAGGACCCCAGGGACCCTGCATCTAGCCATAGTCATGGCTAAGATCTATTATAGTGATGCAGGCAAGACGCACCAGCAGCAAGGGAAGGGACTGCTCAGGCAGAGTCTGGCGGAAGCCAGGCCAGGCTTCCCCAGTGCTCCCCCTCCCAGCAGGAAGGTGACAGCAGTGCTGCAACACATGACGTTTCTGCCCAGGGAAGCCACCTGGGTTCCACAATTCCAGACTTGCTGAGGAAAGCAGGTGTTCACCATAAATGCCACTGTTCATGCAGCCCAGGCGGCCAGCACAGCAGGCTCCACCTAAACCCTGAGCTGGTCCCAGGCACTAGCCAGGACCAGGCTGGCTATGTTCCCTTCCCCTGCACTGTACAGGAGTGAGCCCTGAGCCAGGAAGCAGTGGTCCAGGGAGGGCTTCAGTGGGAGCAAAAGTGGCCCGTGGCAAGAGCAGACAGCCCTGTGGCTGGAAAGATGGGCTGGGAGGGTGGTGGGGGCAGAGGGCAGAAAGGGTGCTGCAGGTCTTGGTGAGGACTGTGCTTTTGTGGGAGGAGAGCCACAAACAGTGAGGGGCAGAGGAGTAGAGGACCCTCATGCAGCCTTGTGAGGAGACTGGGGTGGGTGAGGGTGGGAGCAAAGACACCAAGACGGTAATACAGGTGAGTGACATTAGATCTGGTAGCTGCCACCTGGGGACAAGTTCTGAGATCTGGACGTGTATGAAAGGGTGTGAGGTGTGAGAGGTGTCAGGGAGGACCCCTAAGTCTCCAGCTCCAGCAGATTCCTCTCCAGGGCCTGCCACTAGTTCCTCACAGCCCCCGCCCTCAACATCCTGTTCTGCCTGAAGGACCCGCATGTTGCAGAAAGGCATCGCAGGGTCACCCCAGGAGCCATGCAGGCACTGTGCCATCTCCTATCTGCAGACCCCTACAGTTTCCTCTGCCCTCACATCTCCTCCTGCACATCCATCAGGTAGCCACTCCCACTTCTGTGTCTTTGTCCCCTTGTTCCCTCAGCTTGGAAGAACCCCACTCCCCCCAGCCCTGAGGCATGACATCCTTTCCTGTCTTGGTACTGCAGCACCCACAGAGGGAGCCTGCCCTGGGTCCCCCAGGGGCTTGTGGATCCTCACAAATGCCCTGCTCCTGGAGGCAGCTACCTCATTCTCAGGGCTGCCTTCCCTTAGCAGAATCGCAGCCTGACCCCACTCTAGTCTGATGGTCACCTTGCCCAGAGGGTAGTGTCTGCACTGTGCCCTCTAACAGCTGCTAGGCCAGCCTGAGCCCTGGCCCTCCCTCCATGGTCCCTCCCTCACTGCTGACAGAGGCTTCTGGATCTGAGGTCCCAAGGGCAGGTCTGGGATGGATCAGGGCACACAACAGGGTCACGTCCTCCTGGGGTGTGAGCACGAGGGCCAAGAAGGGCTTCTTAACTAATACCCCTCAACTCAGCCTCCTGTGAAAGGAGCCCTTCGAGGTGCACACGCAAGATATGGGGTGAACAAGGGGAGCAAAGCTGCCCATGGTACCTTAAATAAGCAAGTTACACAACATGTGGACACATCAAACACACAGCATGCTTCCATTTTTATATTTTACAATAAATATAAACTATAATAACCAAAAACTGAAGTGACACTGTTAACAGTAATGATAAGGGGGAGTCTTGTGGGAAAATGTAGATGATTCTCTCTAGACAACACAGATTTGTTTTCAAACTTTGGGCACAAATGTTATAGAAAAGACAGCCCCATGTTCTCTGGCGGTGGCCACTCTCGGCCTCCAGGGCATGCCAGGATCTGGGTGCAGTCACATCCTCAAAGTCTTAGCACCCCAGGGCAGGGCTGATGAACTTGGCACACAGAGACCCAGAGGCAGAGCCTCTCTCCTGGGGGAGAGGCGTGTGTCTGTGCATGTGTGCGTGTGTGTGCGCGTGTGTGCAAGTGCGATCCCAAAGGCCCTGAGGAGCCTTCTCCTGCTCAGAGCTCCAAACGTAAAATGTACACGGGGAGTGCCTCATATATGTATAAGAAGTATGTGTACACAGATAGCATCACTCACTCACTATTGTGCCAATACATTCCATGTACACATACAGGAAAAAGTTGGACATGTAGCTGAAATAAACATTTTTAAATGTCTTCCCATGATGGCTTCCTACTACCATTAGCTAATATTCTCTGGTACAATCTTGTCTGAGGGAAGGGCTCATCATTGCTTGACAAAAGATTTAAACACACTTCACACTATCTTTGTGATACATCCGACCTCTCACACCCAGCTTGTTCCCATTTTGCACCAGGTCGCATCTGGCAAAGGGCTCCTCCCAGGGGCAGGACAGTGGGTTCTGCCATTTTCATATTTGCTCCGGGTTGTGTTCTCAGTATTCTCCTCACTCTGCAGATTCTTAGCAGAAATCTTTTAAAATACTTTTAATATGGAAATTTTGAAATACACAGAGTAAATAAATCCCCCATGTAGCCTCAACACTGACCATCCTGCAGTTTGGTTTTTCTCTCCCCCTCCTCTGGGGAGTACCTCCCCCTGCAGACATCACACCCTGCACATAGGTAGGCATCTCCTAAAATCACACAATCACAGCTAAGAAAATCAAGTCACTCTCTACTACAAACCCACATCTAATTTCCCTCACTGTCCCCCAATAGTTTTTTTATAACTCCCCTCCCAATCCAGGATGCTATCAAGATTCATGTGCTACACCTGGTTTTATGTTTCTTTAATTTCTTTGAATCCAGAACAACTCATGATGTTGAGCTATGTCAAGTGTCCAGGCCAGACCTTTTATAGAGAAATCTTTTTTATCCACACATTCATTTTGTGGCCACTACTTAAATCCATAACAGAATTCCCAAGTCCATTTAAGCAGGCACAAGCAGCCTGTAGCACGCTGTACCACGTAGCTGTCGATGTCAGGGTCCCACAGCACTGCCTGTGTAGGCACCCCACTCTTGCCTCGGGGCCCCTCACACACCGAGCCACTCCTGCCAGTGCTGACATACTCATTCATCTTTTTATAAATTTCAAGTCACTCTCCTCATGCCCCAGTGGAGCCACGAAGACAAGTGTGCCCATTAGAGCCCACCGAGGGTCCTTGCTGTTCTCATACCACAGATGAAGGTCCCCCTGCCCCCCAGTTCAGAACATGCTGTCATGCCACACAGACTCATGATTTCTCTTTTGAGAGCTACCAGTGTCAAAAAGATAACCATGTTCAGGATAGTTTACACTGTACTGGAGGCCAGCACCCTCTGCCAGGGTGAGGGGCTCTGGCTTAGGATTCACTTCCGACAGCTGTGATTAGGGCAGATGAAGAATCACTAGGAGAATTATCCTTTGCAAGGCACACCATGACTTTGGGGCCTGGAAACACAAAAGCTGTTTCCATTTATTTGTCAACTAGTCCTGTGGGAAATCTAAATACTCCTACGAAGTTTTAGAATGTGGGTGGTGCTTTCAG